CCTCATGAAAAAGCTTGAGGGGTGTCCATTCACAGTTAAGGTCTTCTCAGTCTTCTTATCACACAACTTCTTCTTTTGATCATTTCTTCCAACCTTATGAATAGTATTCCGCATATTAAAAACAAAAGAAGGACTTTTTGGTACCCATTTCATCTTGGGTCTATGAGAGTTAAGATCAATATTAGTAGGAAATCTTCTCATAATAAAGTTCTTTCTATGATAGCACAAGTGAGAAATATGTCTTATCTTACCACAATGGTTGCATACAATGTGTGTGTGCAAGATGTCTTGTTCTTCCTAATATAATCAAATTTCTTTTTAGGACTATGTGAAAACAGAATCAAATTAGACATATGATCATAATTATTATCAGTAGGCGAGTCAGAATCCACAAGTAATGCAGAATCCACAATCAAATCAATATCAACATTATTATTCACATCGTGAATCACATTAATGCACGGAACTGAGTGCTCAACCTTGACCCTAGAATGCTTCATGGAGTCAAAGATACTAAAATGCACAATACTATCACCAAATTCTAAGGAAAAAGTACTAGTATGTATATCTATCTTAGTCCTACCTGTTTTCATGAAAGGCCTTCCTAGAATGATTGGGGGCCTACTATTAGGAGATTCACCTTCCAAGTCTAAAATGTAAAACTCAGTAGAGAAAATCAATTCATTCACCATAACTAAAACATCTTCAATCAAACTAGCAGGATGAGCATTACTCCTATTAGCTAACTGGATAACAACACCGGTGGCATGTAAAGGACCAAGACCAAGATAATCATAAACAGATTTAGGCATAATATTTATGGCAGCACCTAAATCTAGCATGCAATCATCAAATCTATAATTTCTAATAAGGCAAGGAATAGCAAACGCCCCTGGATCATTGCACTTCTCAGGCATGGGCTGGATGAGTGCAGAAATGTTTCAGCTCACGCTTACTAATTCGTCCCCCTTTAGCCGCCTCTTGTTTGTTCGTAACTCCTTCAGGAACTTGGCATATTTAGGAATCTGCTTGATTGCTTCTAAGAGAGGAATATTAATTGCAACTTTTTTGAACGTCTCTAGGATCTCCTTCTCTTGTGTTGTCTCTGCCAGCTTCTTGGATTTGATGGCTCTCTGAGGGAAAGGAAGAGAAATGGAAAACACAGGCTCATCATGACCTTGCTTCTCTTGCACTGTCTCCTCTTTTTCTAGTGTTGGTTCAGTCTCAGATGCAGCTTGCTTAGGCTCTTCTAGTTGCTTGCCAGACCTTAGGGATATAGCACTAACATTCAGATTTCCCTTCGGATTTGGAACTGTCTGGGAAGGAAGGGAATCAAGCCCCTGAGGTTAGGTCTGGCTCAAAAAAGTAGCCAATTTCCAGATCTGAGTCTGTAAGTTCTGAATTGATGACTCAGTTCGCTGTTGGAATTGCAAATTACTAGTGGCAAGCTGTTTAACTAAATCTTGTAGAGAAGGACCACTTCCTGGCTGTTGCGGTACTGGTGGCTACTGGAGAGGTGCAGTAGGTCGAAAATTATGCCTCTGCTACTGAGGTACGAACTGCTACCTCTGTTGGTACTAGTTCTGATTCTGGTTTTGGTTCCACTTCAAGTTGGGACGATCCTTCCTGCCAGGGTTATAGGTGTAAGAGAATGGGTTCTACTGTTGTTGTTGTTGTTGGTAGTGAAGTTTACCAGGGAAGACTCCTACTGCAGCAACTGTTTGGTCTACTAGAGGGACACCTTCTTATAAACTGGGGCAAGCATCAGTGGGGTGTAACCGGTTGTAGCAAATACCGCATAGGTTGCTCACCTGTGGAGTGGGAGTGGGAGGTTGGATTATCTACGTCACAGCCAACTGTCTCATGAGTGAAGTTAGCTCGTCAAGCCTATCCTCTATTCTTCGATTATTTGTGCTCGATGCCACTGCTGCTGCTACTACTGAATTCTGGATAGGAGATGCTTGCACTTGGAACATTGCACTGTTGTTCGCTCTAGTGCCAAATTGTTAAGCATTGGCTTCCATATCTGCAATCAACTCTTTTGCCGCAACAGGTGTTTTATTGATCAAGACTCCACCACTGGCTGCATCCAAAAGATTTTTGTCCATAGGAAGTAAGCCTTCGTAGAAGTAGACAATCAGCAATTGCTCTTGAATCTGATGATGTGGATAACTTGCACAAAAGTCTTTTAAACCGCTCCCAGTACTCATGCAAGTTCTCCCCATTTGCTTGTCTTATGCCACTTATCCCCTTTCTGATTGAAGTGAATCTTGAGAAAGGGAAAAATTTCTCCAAAAACAATTTAGCCATGCCATTACAAGTCTCGATAGATAAAGGTTGAAGGTAGTACAACCAATCCTTAGCTCCTCCATCGAGGGAAAAAGGAAAGGCTCTCAGTTTGACCTGCTCTTCATCAACTCCTTGCGGCTTCATGGTTCTGCAGACCACATGAAACTCCTTTAAGTGCTTACGAGGGTCCTCTCCTGCAAGGCCATGAAACTTGGGAAGCAAATGTATTAGACCAGACTTAAGTTCAAAAACAGTATTAAGTTATGGATAACGAATGCATAAAGGTTGGTAGTCAACCTCAGGGGCAGCTAACTGCTTTAAACTTCTATTGTCCAATTTTTATTTTCTGAATTAATGACACTACAGTTAGAAAAAAATAAATTTACTCTACTAGAACAACTAGGAAAATCAGAAGAAGAAATAAACTCAGAATGTTTAGTATGTTCAGAATGCTCAGAAACAAAGTCAAGTTCAATAGCGCTACTATAACTTAACCTACGAGCTCTCCTAGCAACATGCAATTGTCTCTCTATCTCAGGGTAAAGTTCAAACAAAGGACTACCACTACTCTTAGTCATGCATCATAAGGTGCTACAGCAGGTAAATCGCTATAAGCATACAAAACATACGAAAATCATTACAAACACTGAAAATTTACCCAAAAAATATCAAACGATTTTTAAAAATTATGGGACCACCACACAAAAATTCTAATCCTATCTAGGAACTCAAAAATCAAATAATTTTTTTTCAAAAAATAAAATAAAATAGTAAATGAAGGAATTTGGCTAAACTAGGGCCTGACTTATGAGGCATAGACAAGGATGATCGTATCCTTCAGTTCACCAATTTTCAGAGTGATCAAAACAAGTCAAACAATTGCAGAAATACTTGATACATCCTAAAACGACTAAGAAATAGCAAAAAGGGTTAGTAAACGACAGAATTTCGCGAAATTAAGGAGCCCTCACTTCCTTTTAGGGAGTGCCTTTTGCTCAAAAGGTCAAATTCCTTTGGGAATTGAACTCTTGAGATCGAATTGAGTAAGATAGTCATCTTCCCAAACACAAAAACACCCAAAATCGCAAAAAAAAAACAAGAGTAAATACCCTTTTGGGTCCCTAACAAAAAACATGGTCCCCATTTTAGTCCCTTACAAAAATAAATTAGTCAGTTAGTCCCTAACAAATTCAAAGTGGGCCCATTTTAGTCCTTTTGAGGGACTAATATGGGTCTTTTTTGAATTTGTGAGGGACCACGATTTCAACTAAATGGGTCCACTTTGAATTTGTTAGGGACTAACTGACTAATTTATTTTTGTAAGGGACTAAAGTGGAGATCGTGTTTTTTGTTAGGGACCAAAAATGGTATTTACTCAAAAAACTAAGAAGTAAAACAGAAAAGAACGAAAAAGAAAGATTAAAGAAAGTAAAAACAAGCATTTAAAAAGGCCTTTTTGGTCCCTAACTGGGCTTTCATGTCTGCTTAACATTAGTATGTCTCTGAGTTACCTGCAAAACTGATATGAATGTCACCAAGAATAGTGAGACCCAAGACCAATTTAGTTAGGATCGTTTCTAGAATCAGAAATTTAAAATAAGAAATAAAGAACCTTGACCCGTTATCTATGGAAGATAAGAACCAAAGGTATAAGAAGGATAAAGACGTAACACTCAAGAAAGAAGAAAGTGAGTGATAAGTCTGGTTTGAACGCCGCAAGAATAAACTTCTTGATAAGTTCAGAGTTCTAGATAAGAACCAAAGAGAAGAAACCTCTCTATTATATTATAACATCAAAATCTGATTACAAGAGTTATATCCTCCCTTATTTATACTTGGAACATCCCTCCAAGAATAGGAAAAGACTTAGCAAATGAAAAGACACTAATTTAAAGTTGACAACTTGGAAAAGGAAAAGACTCTAATCAGCCCACTAAACATTAATGACGTTGGAAATGTGAATTAACCCCACTAAGCATTAATAACATTGAGAATTGTAACACCCTCCCTTGTATGCATCCAAGAGAGTTGTTTGCTAAGCGGATTAGAGTTCTTAATATCATTACTTGAATACTAAAAATTCATTTTCAGTTGCTAATTAAAAATTATAATTGAAATCGAGTCACTTACAAAAATCAGAGTGCACTTTCAAAATTTCTTAACTTGCTGAAAATATTATTTTCCTGGCAGATGGTGTTGTCTTGAAAAATTCGTATAAAATCAAGCTCATCGATACACAAAAATATTCTTTGTAATATAGAAACTAGACATCTGGGACTTCGCGTACATATAAATTATACGCGAATCGGAGAAGAATAGCCCCATGAAACAGAACTCGTAAAGTACTCAAAACTCTGTATTATTCTAGAAACCTCCGGACTCGTAAAAATCATAATAAATCGGGGTTTCAGAATTTCATTGTAAGGTTTATATAATCTGAAAGTACACAACTGGGGCTTTACATCCATATAAAATATACCTCAATCGGAGGCTAGTAGCCCCAGAACGACAACTTGCAAAGTGCTCAAAAAACAGTTCAAAAATCCAAATTTTAAAATACAGCAAAATTATTTTCGCAAACTAAATACCAAACATATACATATCATGCTACGCTTCTTTTTCAAAACAGGATTTACATCCTATCATGTAATTCTTCAAAAGATCTCACACTATTACTCAATTAAATCATGTCCAACGCATAAAAAGTAAAACATAACATAAGTTGGATATCGGAACGGCAATAACATCAAGCATGATTCTCAGGATATTATGCATAAACATAATTACAGAGTTCAGCAATTCTTCATCAAATTTTCAGAATTCAATTCCCAAAACAAGTTTACTAATCTCCATAACATCTTATTGCATATAATCTTTCAGCATTTAATCCAACAGAAACAAAACTAACAGCAGTCATCCTCAAACAGCAGAGCATCAACCAAGTACTTCCAATGACATGCTTTATCAAATATTTCTTTATCTTCCTGCAATTTATAAAAATGCAGCCCCCAAAGGGGTGTGAGAAATTCCAGTAGTGTGGCAATAAAACCAATACAGCAACAATATTAGACTAGGTACAAAATTCCAAAACAGTCGCATCAACATTTAAATTTCCGGACAGATGCTAACATATAATCAAGGTGCGTATATAATGCCAAAGTACTAATCAAGATGCGTATATAACGCGAAAATACTAATCAAGATGCGTATATAACGCCAAAGAGTACGTTCATAGCACCGTCGTGCACGTACTAACAAACACAGTGGATATTCCATAGGGTTCCCCAAAAGGTGAATTCCACTCGACCTATGCGGACTGAAGCCAAGTGTCCCATACCCTGGTACCGTAGGGATGCCTATATGATGCGTGCTCAAACGTATGCTTATATTTATTATATACTTCAGTCTCCAAGATGAATGCATAATGTGGTATGCAATAGCATGCTTGACACACACACAAACAGACACAGGTGAAACATGATGTGCATATGCATGACTAGATCATAATCATATAGCATATATCTCTTGTGTATGTAATACCAAGCTGCCAAATAACAAATACTTCCATAGGCAGAATTTCCCATCAAGACAAGTCCAAAGCAGAATACATATATCATATAACTGAATACTAAGCATAAAGCACATGTGAGCATCAGTTCAAAATTCCATACTCTAGCTAATAGTCACAGTAGGTCTCACCACCAAACACATACCTCATGTCCAAGCAATAATCAACAGCACCAAAATTCAGCCCACTCAATAAGAGTTACGTGCACCTAAATACATGCGGTACAAGTCAGAATTTTATTCATACATCCCTATTATTTATAGGAACTTTGCATGCCTTCTTATTCTTGTATTTCATTCGATTTACCATGCTTCTTGTGCTCACCAATTTCTGCCTTCCCATTAATTACTAACATGTTACCATAATAAAATCCTAAATTTCCAATGCTTGCCAATTCGGTTTTCATCATGCCACTCAATCACAACAATTTTCTGACTTCTTATTAATTTATCAAAGGTTAATAGTGAAATTTCCAAGATTCTCCACACATACTAATTCAGTTCTGTTTAGCATAAAAGGTTCAGAATTTTATTCACTTAACCAAGGCACTAATTGCTAAAAAATCAGGATTTTCCAGGGTTTTACAACACACACCCCAAATTCGATTTTAACATACTTTCTAACTTAGATTCAATTTCTGACTTGGTTTAGCTTTACCCCTCATTAACAAAATTTACCACTTCTTAATTATACAATCTCGGCTTTGACTAATAATTAGGAATTCATAATTTAGACATTCATCTAACCTGTCTACAATTCCTAAGGTGCACTAGGGTAAACCCAAAAAAAAACATGCTGTGAACGTTCATCAAGACATATGCTAGGCCTAATTAATTCTCTTAGTCCCAAGGAATCAGTTCCACTTACAAGGCTTAGAAAGGTGATTCAAATATCTTTCAGCATGCTGTTCCCATTAATTTTTGACACATGGAAGGCTTGAGACTTTAATCTAACTCAAGGGACATTCCTACTCTGGGTGGGGCTAATTTCCAAGTCCCCAAAATCTGTCCTAAGACACGCATATAGCAGGGTTTACGGCTTGGGCAAGTTAAGGGAGGATGACAAAACAGAAAATTGTTTCTAATAACCTATTTCCCAGCCGAACAGTGTAGAAAGAAGAAAAGAATTATGGAAAACCCCACTTACTTGTTCTCAAGCGTTCAAAGAACCACAATCAAGCAAGGACAGCCCAAACACTTTTTCTTATACTCCAAGAGACCGGTTCCACTGCATGCAAGGGGGCAAGAGTTCGACCAAGGCTTGGCCAAGTGCATGCAGAAAGAAAATTCAATCAGAGTCAAGTCAACTAGGGAAAACAGATACAACCAGAATTTTCTCACCTCTTTGATAGGTGTACTCGACTGACAGGGGAGGAAGGGAGACTTGAACATTGAGCTCTTCACTTAGGAATACTCACGGTTTTGTGCAGCAAAGGGAAGTAGACGGTGCTTTCTGACTTGAACCAAGAGGGTACCCAAACGGTTCTGTTTTGACCTTTTTGGTGTGCATAAGTGAGGATGCTTAGTTGGGTTCTTTTCTGCTGTTGAAGAAAATAAGGAGAGAGGCCAGTCTTACGGTTTTGGAGAAATGAATACTTGTTCCCACATGATGTTCTGTCGAGGCAAGGAGGGAAGGAAGAAGGTGCTTCTTAACCTTAGGCTGCACCAAAAGCTAATTAGTACTGTTACGTGTCCTACTAGGCGTACAAGGGAAGCGAAGTGGTGAGAGATTAGTTTTTAGACAATTGGTTTGAAGTTAAGATTTTTGTCCCCAAAGATGGAGTTTTGGCCGAAACATGAAGGATGAAATCCCAGTGCCCGTGGATTGTATAGATGGCGGACATGCAATGAAAGTAATGAAGGAGGATAAGGTTTAATCATTCATAGGTCAAGTGTAAGAAGATTTTTGGTGGATTAGGGCCTCCCTCAAAGTGCTTGGGCCGTAGCCCATTAAGACTCCTTTGGTTCCCAAAAATTAATTTCCTAAGAGCTAATCTACCTCACCTCATATAGTAATAGCTATTACATATCTTATACCCACTATGTAGCAACTAGAATTCTTTCATATTTTGTACCTAAAATTAATCTCATACTTTTAATGAGTACTCATATAATTCTAAGTATTATGCTTTCTATGTATTCTGATTAAATTATTCCTATACTTGTTCCTTATAGCATGTATGCACATAATTAAATTTCCAACTTGAATTATTCCACCCTAAACATAAATATATTTTTCGAGTTCAAACATGTATTATCTTACTAATGGTAGTTTATATTTATTCCTCGTTTTTACGGGATGTTACACTCTCCCCAACTTATTTTGAAGTTTGTCCCCAAACTTCGTCTTATCATCCCAAGATCTGCCTAAGTCTAACGCTTAACACCATTACGCCATGCCATACAGTTCACTGCATTCATATAGCCTACTATCAAGGCCATCAACATCTCAGAGTATTACCAACAAATTTTGTACTTTGTATGCTCATTAAATAATATAGATATAACACAATTTTGTTCGTACAGAAGGAAATAAAAATCTTCCTAAGCTTAACCATGATACGAACAATTTCCTAAGTTCTTTTTAAACACCAACAATTACCATAACATACAAGTGGGATGAAACAGACAAAAATCTTTCTAAACCAAGAAACTCCAGATAAAAAAAACCATAATAGAGCTCAGGGTTTTAGTGCACAATTAATAGATAACTAAACAAATCTATTTGCAAAACACTTCTTCACTTTCTAAATTTTAATAATTATTACTAGTGTAGGCATAAGTGATTAAACTTTTATTCACCCGATTCAAAATTATAACCTATGAAGGAAAACATGACCATAGACAAAAGGCCTCCTAACATTCCTATCTCATAGTTCACCTTTGATGTCTCGCTGTACTACTACTCAACTGATCATAAATTTCATTGGTTTCAAATAACATGTAATTAACAAGTCAGTGACCTATATCAAAGCTCCTTAGAATGTAAAGTCAAATTTAACAATAAAGTGATATTACCTCCTATTTCCTGAGCAAATATAAGGTTTATTAAATAGGATTTCCAACTATCATTGTTTCGTCTTTGGAATATGCACGTTACAACTTCTTAGGAGTGCCATCATCTTCTACTTGATTCTTATCAATAATAACGGTCCAGTTCACTCGCTACACAATTCACACATATGCATGACATTCAGGTTTCTACATTAGTCACCTTGCCTAATAATATCACAGACAGAATTTTATCTTCATTATCCTTCGGGAAATCAAGTAAGTAAAACAGAGCACATTACATTCTAATTTTCAATTTAAAGGAATTTTCATGGAATCACAAAATCTCTATCCTGCTTTTCAGACATACCATGTTAAGTGGTATCCCCTCATACAGCTCGTCAAAACACCCGTATGAGGAAACTTCCTCGAGCTTTCCGCTGTCCTAAGTACCTCAGATGTAATTGACTCCATTGATCAGAGGATCCATTAACCATGATATGACTTTCCAATTATCGACACATTTTACAATTTTTGAAACAGCTATCCAACATAATCCACTAACAGAGACCACACTGTCATAATTCAAGTTCACAAAAACTACATCAAATTCCGAGTTGTAATTAAATTTCCATCTATAATGACAAGTCACAAGCACGGCACAACTTCATGCAGAAAAACACCAAATCCAAAGTTCACTTAAACCGAAAACTAATCTCATCCATACAAACAACAATGCATCCATCCGATGAGAACATTTAAAGAAATAATGATAATATTTTATGCTGTATTTAAACAATTTCAAAATGAATATCAAACTTTTAACATGAGGTTTACAGCAGCATATTTAATTCACGTGTTGAATATTGTTCCGATTAAACAGCAATTAACCAAAGTCAGGATGCTTAAGTTAAATTCATCTCTTACATTATGCACTCAGTTTTTATATGAGGTGTTCTTGGAACCATGCAGGTATAAAAAAAAAATTCTAAGAGGTACTAGCTCGAATGGCTTATACAAAAAGGATTAACAGTTCCTAACAAACATGTGCAGAAGGTAGGGATGGTCCATATTAAGTTATATCTAGGATTTGGACATACAGGCAATTAAATCAAGATAATGATTCATCCCAAAATTTAACCTAGAATAATAAAATTATAGATCCACTATTTTTCCGTTTATAGTTCAATCAAATCATGTAATGGATAAATGCAATTTAAGGATCAATACTTATAGCGGCTAAATATGTATAGGGGATTCAGATACCATGTAGCTCAACTAGAAGATAATGAATATCACTAGTAATTTGGGTTATGGCATAAACAAAATGCACAAAAATAATTTTGAACAACTTATACGTCAGGCACAGAGTGTTTGATCAAAACATACTTTCTTTCAATTTACTTTAGCTGACCAAGGAAAATCAAATGTATTTCAAACACCAATTCAACAGTGTATACCCGAAACAATTAAACCAATAACCAAGTACAACGCTCTGCTCAACAAGTGTTAGTATATGGATGTCCTAGAGACAATCTTTTGATTAGATTAGGACATAAGTGGACCTTTGTATTGTCGTAAATAAATAAAAGCATTCTTTATCCTGTTTCATATTTTGTCTTGATATTACTGTTAATATTATATATGAGTAACTGGATAAACCCCTTGGAATAAAATAGGTATCTCTTAAGTATCTGTGATGAGATCACGATAATGAGGATTCAAGGATACTAGATGTTTATTCCTAATTTTATGTTCCTAGTCTAGAGACACTGAGAATGGGGATCAGTGATCTCGGGTAAGACTAGCATGACTTATCTACTTGTATTCGGATAGGTAAAGACCTCATGAGCTACAGATATGGAGATGTCTTAGCTAAAGTCGTGGGTGGACCTATAAGGGCATAGCTCGCACTGAACAGACCCACAAAAAGACTCTATGAGAAAATCTCACAGAGAGTATCATTAGAGTAGTCTCTTTATATTTGGGTATGTCTTTCCTTAGACCAGAAGTTATTGCATAGACTGTGTTCTAGAAAGCATGCTTTGACTGGATACCTCGTCTGCCTGAAACATGGAGACTCATAGGTATACACTGTTGGGCTTGTCTTGAAAGAGCATAGGGCTAGGGTGATAAGCTGAAGGAATTCGTCAAATCTCTGTGAGAGATTAGGTTATCTGTAAACCGGAGAAATTGGGATGACATTTCCAGGGACTCGGGAATCTATGCATAGTAAAAGAGATCATGAGATGATCTGCCTTTAGAGTCAGTAAATTGAAGATTCCCTATTTCGAATAAAGCTTACCCTAAACCGCAAGGGTGGATACGTTTCCTTACCCTAGGTTTTATGGAAAGGTAATCGAGACGAAAGGAAATACATACGGAAACCAAATATGTATAATAGGATGATTATGTCATTAACCTAACTAGCTCTGGGGCAACAAAGCATTGCTAGTGCTCTGTGTTGTCATTAGATGGGTTGTGGGCTTATTGGGCCCAAGCCTATTTATGTCAGTGGCTATGTTGGGCCTAATGGATCACACACTAACACCTTATTGTCATGACAATATAGCATTAAAGGTATTGGGCCTAATAATGGTTGTTAGCCCAAGAAGAAGTTTGGAAGCCCACCAAAAGGGAAAAAGGGCGCATGGTTAGTTAATGGGCTTGGATGGTCCAAGACATTACTAATTAATTTAATTAGTTAAATTAATTATCAAATGTTCAAATTTTGAATTTTGAATTTGAAATTTGAAATTTGAATTTTGAATTTGAATTTTGAAATTCGAATTTTGAATTTTGAATTTTGAATTTTGAATTTGGAATTTGAAATTTGAAATTTGGAAATTTGAAATTTGAAATTTGAAATTTGAAATTTGAAATTTTGAATTTTGAATTTGAAATTTGAATTTGAATTTGGAATTTGAATATTTGAACGTTTGAATTCAAATGTTTGAATTCGAATTTGAATTGGCTATGAAAAGTTGTTTCATAACAAAAGGATAAGATAAGATCTTGTTAGAACAAATCCCAAATATCAAGAGGAGATCTTTGAGAATCTTCTAGTGAGGATATGGGGCGCTTATTTTGGCATCTGCTGATTGGTCATAGGATCAACCAAATGAGCTCCAGTCAGATTTGGTTTGTTGAGAGAATAAGTGAGACAGTTGGTTCAAGTTTGAATGCATATGCTCACCGTATCTGGACTGTTATGAGGCCAAGTGGGGCGCACCATATGGCTGGCCATATGATGGTTGATGAGTCAGATTCTTGTTGAGATATTCACTTGATATCATGAGGATGTGAGAGAAGGTTGTTGACAAGATTTGAATTTTGCAACAACTCTACTCATCCCCCTAGTGTGCGCTACATAGGGCTTTATTTAAGTGAAGAAAATCTGATTTTAATTCAATTATTCTCTCATCTCCTTGTGGGTTCCTTTTGTCAGGTTTTTCTTAAGAGAGTTTTGAAATAACCTAGCCCTTTTCAAAGTAAAACCATGCGTCACTTTTGTGTCTATTCTTGCTAAATATTCACTCTTCTAAACACCTTGACCTAGCCTCCTCCTTCACACATTTGGGCGCATAGCTTGCCTCCATTGATGTTTTCGTTGGTGGCCTTGAAGAAGAGTTCTTCCGTCTTGACAAAGGGTGGTGTGGATCAACATTAGAGGGCTTGCATCTTCAAGCCTCATCGTGCATCACACGTCGATCAAACTGCCATGGACGCCCTAAGAGAATATGCCCAGCTTGCATTGGCACAACATCACATAACACCTCATCCTTATACTTTCCAATTGAAAATGGAACTACCACTTGCTTGTTCACCTTGATTTCGCCACAATCATTCAACCATTGTAG